TCAGTAGTTTAAGGGACTAAAAGTGCTCCCTGAACTGGTGACTCCAATTGAGCTATTTAAGTATTTGTTAGAATTAGGGATGGGCATCATCCTATTGCTAAATCGATTGCTCGTTTATACACTTTTTTATTTAAAATTAAATTTGTATATCTTTTCACTGAATTCATCAATTTAATTATTTAAAAGTCGCTTATTATTCATTTTGCTCGTAGAGTGTTAGTCAAATATTAGTTCTTAAATATTTATGCTTTTCCAAATACATTTAAATGCATTCTAATGATTTTGTTAAATGTTGAGTTTCCAAACATCTATTAATGCGCTTTTTATTCTATTCCATATCCAGATTCCTTTATTTATTTATAGGGTTTCCCAAATATGTATTTATTTCGCCTCCCCTTACTTCATCCTACTCTTCTCTAACATTCTTCCTCTTTTTATTTTCCTTTTCCTTTGGCCACTAATCATTCCTCCATCAGTGGTCACGCTCTCGCCTCTTTCGCCCAGTCCTCAGGTTCCGGCTTTATTATTGATAACCAAGGCCACATCATCACTAATGCCCACGTTGTCGGCCACCGTGGCTCTATCCAGGTCAATTTGCCTGACGGACGTATTTTCAATGCTCAAGTATTAGCCATTGATTCCTCTTCTGACTTGGCTCTCGTTAAGGTAGATTTATACTGAACATTTTCATTTCACTAACTAAAGTGCCCAAAAGATCAAATTGAAATGCTTACGGGTATTTTTATTTTTATTATTCCTGTGATACTTTCACTGGCAAGTCGTTTCGCTAGCAAAGTCTTTCAAATGTTATATTTCGCATAATCTCCGTTTACTGTATCGTAACTAAGCTCTGTATCAAATTACAATTAGTAACGGAAGTCTGAGTTAACTTTGAGAGCACATAGAGAGGATATTTCTGCCACCTATAATAAATACAAGGGGAGAGCAGGCACTCTAGAATCATTTAAAAATCGTATAGCAGAGGCACTTTTTGTATCTGGCCAGAAGCGGCCAAACTGCTAGAATTGATAATTTTATTCAATTAAGGCAATATGGATTACTGAATAAGAATCTTATCTCCATAGGTCGCTTAATGTGATTTAAGGTGACTTAATTGAGTTTTTTTCATCGTGAGATGATTAAGTATCGCGAGATCTACTTATCTTATCGTGGGAAAAACTCAAGTATCCATCCTTAAAG